GAAGATCAAAAATAACTTTTATTTTAATTTGCTTGTCCTTTGTTTTCTCTTTTATTATTCAGTCATTGATTTTTTACACTGTAGTTTTCTAGCGTTTGTAGCTCTTATAATCCAAAGGGGACCTAGAAAATCAAGTGCTTTTACTTGTACTAGTGCTAGTGTAGTACAAGAATTGTAAGAATCCAACGCACTGGTGAAATCTCTGGACAACTGTTGACAGATTCCTAATATCTGAAACGAGATATACTTAAGATGTAGCGGTACAAATGCCCCTTTATTCTCCTCTAGCAGGTTTCCTAATTCATCTAAAGCAGAGCTTTGGCCTTTTTTCGTTTTTATTCTTTTTTTATTACAGAGGAATGAGAGCATGAAAGTCAATACATATGGAGGAATATGGATGGCTGGGATTCCATTCTCCTTCATCGCTTTCTGCTTTACTTCTAATGCATACAGATATGTTATATCGCTGGGGTAAGCTATATTTACAACCACTGGTCCCAATAAATCTGTCCATGGTAAGCAGTATTTCAAATCTTCATATTCAGAAGATCCTGGTAAGTGTATCACATTTGGTTGTGTAAATGTGCGCAGCAGACGTTCAGCTACAGATATAGCCTTCTTAAAGTTTCATTTCTTTTAAGTTCCCGCACTTTAGAGAAATACTTTTTATAGAAATCATATATTGGGAATTCCAAATATAATCCAAGAGAAGCATACACCTCATAACAAAATGTAATATATTCTGACCGATCATCAAATTTACTAAGTTGCATTCTATGCCGTTCAATGCATGGAGTCAAGCATTTGTAATCTTTATCGTAAAAAATTGCAAAGTTCTTCAAAGAACTTCCTCTATTTCCTGTAGCATGTAGAACATAATAGTTTTCAAGAAATTGGAACACTGTAATTTTTCATTGTGGGAATTCGGATTGATAACATCAGTGAGGAATATTTTGAGTAGTCCATAACACATAAACTGGACATGGCTCATGGAATGAACGCATTTCAATTCAATGAACTAAATGAGATACGCCATTCGTGATCTTCATGATTAGAGCCATTGCGGCATGATTAGAGCCATTGCGGCCAACAGGAACAAGATGGCAGCCTGTTTCTTTGGCATACTGCAGTGTAGCTGTGTTAGGCCAACCTTATTCTACGCAACGGTTTATCCATGGAGTTGCTGCTTCAGGAAAAAAGTCGCACTTTAATGAATGAGCATTGTCAAAACTTGTCCCATTAATCAAAAGGCCACTTGCACAAGGTCCATGTTCATGTGAATCTTTATTTACCAATTTTAGTGTAGCCTTTCTATATTTTGAATTTCACATATATGTTTCATTTCCTGTTTTAAAGTAGCTATCGCAAACCTTCTTACATTCAGACTGATTAATGACTCTCAGAAGGACAGATCCTGGACTATCCTCACAATACTCCATCACCATCAGAGTTGTTTTATCTTTTTTATATTTGTTTGCTTGTTCTGGATGACTAATTAACATGTGATCTGTCCACGATAAAGATAATCGTCGTCAGAATTTCCCAGTCGGAATCCTTCCCTTTGACTTCCAGTTGAAAATCGAAAAAAAAGTTGGAATAGAAAGTTGCCGTATTGTCGATGAAGCTGAATTATAAATCTCATTTTCAACATCTTTAATTTTTCTTCTTATCGTTAATTCCGTTGGAGATCCAATTTTGCCTTGAAGAGATAAATAAAACTTCTCGGAAAGAGTAAACAGTTTCTCCATATTCCAATCAGGTATACAAAACAATTCGTACTTTGGAATACGTAATAAGTCATTCTCTTCTGGTTTTTGAGGGGACGAAGTATTAAACATCTTTTTAAAAAAAAAAAAAAAAAAATCATATATTTAAATAAACTTGACATACATGTTTTGGTTTCCCGTGTAACATGACAAGCACGAACAATTTTACTGGCATATCGATTCTTCGCTTTAAAAATTATGGATTCCAGATCGTCCTTCCAATATTCCATCAATATCAGCCATTTTGTAAATTGATGCTTGTGTTCTGGATGACAGATCACTCTGTTGTCACTGAAAGAGTGAGCATGGTCACTTTGAAATGGAATTAAATTTTCACCCCGTTCGTTTTCCATCAAAAAACTACAAAAGTCAGGAACCTTTCCTTCTTCCTCTTTTGTTGAAGCTGCATTATTCAACAAGCTTTCAATTTTCCGTAAGAATGCTTCCTTTGTTTCAATCTCTCTAAATCCACAAATTAATTCCATGATAAAAGCTAATTCGTCCTCTATTTTTTAATTCCAGAACTGTTCGTGTTTGTGGTATCCAATACATACACTAACGAACAGTTTCAATTGAAAGTGGATGAGTCAGTTAACCTTTAACCTTTACAATGAACACCATATAAGTTTGTTCAATGCACTAAAGGCTAATCTTTGAACTGTAGTCATGTACTTTAAAATGCACTTTGTTTTTTAATCGTAAAAGGTGCTTAATTTTGTTATATATCAACATTTTTTTTAAATCTGTATAGCATGTGTGTCAGCAAGATATCAGGATAAATGATCCAAAACATTTTAAAAACAAAATAGATGCGGTTGAACACATTTTAAAGTTAATTTCTAAGAGTTTTGATTTATTCTTTATTTGCTGTATTTAATATCGGAGTATTTCTTGAACTATAAATAAATAGATAATAAATGGAATTTTTCGACTCCTATTCGGTGTCTAGAGTAAAAATGTAAGAAGATAAAACTTATTGCAGATTAACAGTACATTCCACTTTATCATGCAAAAGAATTTTTAGCCACTGCTACTTTATGACATGTAAGAGGAGTTCATGACATGCGCGGATCTAGAGGGGGGGTCGGGGGTGGGGGGGGGGTCAGGACCCCCCCCCCCCCTGGAATTTACCAGGTTAAAAAATGTATATGCTAAAACAAGAAAAAAGTTACCATGGACCCCCCCCCCCCCCCTGGTAAACTCAAATATGTGTGAAATGGGTATGAAAAAGTGAAAGATTTGAGGCCACTACCCCCCCCCCCCCCCCCCTCCCACGAAATAGGTTTTTCACGTTTGTACGAGTTTATTTTTTTTTTTTTTATTTTTTTTTTGCTTGTCAAGAAATTTCTGGGATAGGATTTTTTTTTTGACTGGGGTGGACCCCCCCTGGAAAAAATTTCTGGATCCGCGCCTGCATGAAACCCTGTTTTTGCAACATAAAACAGCTATTCCATTTTTTTCTCAAAAATGCAGCTCATATTGCTTTAAGTTTAACAAATTAATGATTTTTTTCTAATGCATGGGTTGTGTCATTTAAAGCATAGTACACACGCAAGGTTTGAACAGGAAAAAAAAGCATTCTATTAACAGTAATGGTCTACTGACCTTTACATCATTATTTTGTGTTCTCTGACCAATTCCCATCTGCTGGAAGTGTCTATTACTTTCAGAGATAATAAGTCCTAAACATTGGGTTGTGAAAGACACGGCGACAATATAAATTTCCATACGCCGACTTGTCAATAATCAGACACATGCCAAACTTATCAAGACGATCATTACGGAGAAGATGGGATGAAAACAGATACTTGTCTTCTCTGTGGTGGAATGGTCAATTAGATCTACTCACAAAGTTGTTAGAATCTTTTGAAAAGTGTGTCCTTCAAATGACCAAAAAATCCATTTTCCAGACAAAGTGAGAAATGTCAGTGTGCTGTATGTTCTGAGCAATAAATCTTAATATTTTTCATGTTTTCATCTTAATAAGAACAGCACTCGCTATTTATGAAAATTTTTTTAAAATCTTGTAAAATAGCTCAATTATAATTTTGCATTTCAACTCACAAGACTCTTCCTAATTATGAAAAATCTGCTCTGACATCAAGGAGTCATGTGATATCAGACAAAATAAATACCATACCAGGTAGTACAAGGTGTAAATTTTATAAGCAGACTGGGAATGGCAGACTAAAAATAAAACGCATGTCACATCCAGCAAAGATAAGGAAATTACCATACAAGAAAATTTGAATATTACATGTACAGAGACGCAGAAAAGAATGTAGATTTTCTTTTCTTAGGCCAAAATAAAATTATAGTTTGTTTGGAATTGCCTCCCGCCTCATTGAAATGCCCCCCTCCTGAAAATATTTTATTGACCAAAAGTAGGAAGATTTTTTTTTTTAATTTAATCAATTTTTTTGGCCCATTACATGTATCACACGCACCTTACAAAACACTGAAATATAGTGTCAGATCTATGTAAAATTAGGTATTTTTGTTCTGAGATTTTATCAAAAATTTATAATTTATCTTCAATCAAAAAAAATAATAATTTCCCTCCCTCCCTCCTGTGTCTAAAACCCTCCAGGCGGCAATTCCAAACAAACATTTTTTTAAGGGTGGCCTTAGTGGATCTGCCTTTAAATGAAAATGGCCAATTAAGACAGCCGTCTCCTATTGCAACGGCCCTAATGTAAAACTTAGCCATGTTTTGAATCCCTTTTCACCCACGTATACTTTCTGGCAAGAAAAAATGCAATCAGAAAAGTTCACACAAGGTTTCAGCTTGGATGAGTGAAAAACAAAACATACTTAGTTCAGAAAATTAAACATAAAAAATCATTCAATTACACATAATTTTCTAGTTGACCCAAATACGCAAAAATTAAATTACGCATACATGCATACTCTATTTAAAAATTTTAATTTTTCTTTCTTCAAAGATCAATATGAAAATTATATGTACCTTTTACGTAATGGTATACACATACATATCTTCCCAATATCTCTTTAATTTACTATTCAAACAAATTGAAGAGTCTTAAGATTTTACCATGACTACAAACAGTCTATTTATCCTCATTCAGATTCTGTAATTTTTTTTATGGATTCCCAGGATTGGAAAGGTTTCCTTTGCATTGTGGGTATGCAGTCTGTTTTTCAGGTTTAAAGTTAGTAATTTTTCTCTCTTGGAGAAATAAAGAAAAAAAAAAAAACATGTTAGTGCACAAGACATTTATTAGACTTTCTTGTGTATGTGGGTGTATTTGATGTAAAAGTAAATAAATACTTAATCATGCACAATTGTACACCGTAATCATATTCTGTTAAACCAAGAAAAATAGTTAAAAGTTAAGCTTCAGGCACTGTATATAGATATCCGTACAATAACTCTCATACAAAATAAACTTCTTCCATGAACTAAACACAATACACATCCAAAACAGCTGATATTTAAAAAAATAAAAAATTATTCCTGTTGCTAAATATTTACACACACACAAAGCTTTCAAACTCTAAGAATTATGTCTTTATTAAGGAAGATCTTCCTCGGAATAAAATCTTGTCAATCACTGTGTGGCACACTGATCTTCCGAGTTGATGTTATCTGTCGGCAGTTCTTTTTTAGATGATTTGGGAGCCCTAAAACTTGTTTGTTGTGGTACACTAGCAGATACTTTTGGTATAGAAAAGTCCAGATCTATTCCTTTGGTGTCTGAAAAAAGTAAAAAAAAAAAAAAAGGGCATATTTTAATAGTGGTGCAAAGTCATCTCTAAAATTAAAGTGTGTATATATAAAACAACAACAAAAACCAAAAGATGGCAGAATTGGGAAATTTCTCCATTTTCTAAAATAATAATCATACTCATTGCTTTGACGGTATGTCCTTCAATCACTTTCAATATATATATCTACCAGTAATATTTTATAACTAAAAAGTGCAAAGGCACAGTTTTGAAGTTAATATTTTCTCAGATTTTCTGTATAATATCACAACTTATATATTGCAATAGCATTTATCGCAAGGGTCACAACATTTGTCATGTATTACCTTCTAAGGGTTCTTTCTTTACAACACTTGTCAATTTCCCATTTTCTTCCCTGGTTTGAAAATGAAATAACATTATTAGTTACAAATTTTGTAGACAATACATTAACAACATGCAGCTTCCATTCTATATGCAAAAGGTCTCTAAAATAATTAAAGTTAATCACCAAAGTCAACAGAGAACTGCCACTTCAATTTATTTACCCACTTTCTCTGGGTAATAGAATATAACAATTAATTTCAAAGACAAAAATTAACAATATCCCTTGTTCCCTATACAATACATATGTATTTGGTCAATTGATCATGGCCTACCTTTTCTGTTGCCGATTTTCTTTGGAATGTTTAAGCTCCGCCTCCATCTGTAACACTCTATTGGTCAGTTTTTTATTCTCCTTCTCCAATCGTTTATTCTCGTTCTTTAACAAGAGATTGCTGTACTGATCCACGGCTCCTGAACATGAGGCCTTGTACACGATGGCCGAGTCATTGCTGCTGGTATTACTACACTGGCTGATGTTATCACTGGGCCTCACCACGGGGTCTTGGAATAACGTCTTTTTTGTTGGCGGTATAAGAACTGTACCAGAAAAAGAGAGAAAATGTTATTAAACCCCATGAAGTACAGTTAAGAATTTAGGGTGAATATGAACAAGAGGCCCACGGGCCTTATAGGTCACCTGAGTATCATGTAACAACTTTCCAACAATTGAATTTGGTTCGTGTTTTAAACCAGAGGCCATGAAATTCACAATTTTGAAAGAGGCACCATTGCTTATCATAATTATACACTTATTAACCATTTTGCTAGATGCACCTTTCTTCATCATAAATATATATACTTGGATCATTGGCATAATACCAAGGAACAAAGGAAAAGATTTTCAAAGAATTAATGTATTTTCACTGTATAATCAAAAGTACCCCCCCCCCCCCCCTACACAAAATGGCAAAACCCCTGAAACAGGGGCCATGAAATTCACAATTTTGTAAGAGGCACTCTTTCTTATCATAACTATGTACATGCTTAGTTTATTTATATTATTGAATATTGAATAGTTTATTTAATACCCAGGAGCAGAGAAGAAGATTATCAAGGAATAAATGGATTTCACTATATAATCAATAAAGCCCCGCCTTAACACCAGAACCCCTGACCCTGGGGTCATAAAATTCACAATTTTGGAAGAGGCACTCTTACTCATCATAACTATGTACTTAGTTAGTTTATTTAATACCCAGGAGCAGAGGATATTTTCAAAAAATTTATTGCATTTTCACTATATAATCAATAGAGCCCCACCCTAACACCAGAACCCCTGACCCTGGGGCCATAACATTCACAATTTTGGAAGAAGAACTCTTGCTTATCATAACTATGTACTTAGTTAGTTTATTTAATACCAAGGAGCAGAGAAGATTGATTGATTGATTGTATATTGTTTAACGTCCCTCTCGAGATTTTTTCACTCATATGGAGACGTCACCGTATGGCGGTGAAGGGCTTCAAATTTTGACCTTTACTCAGCACTCAGGGCCATTGAGCAGTGAGGGATCTTTATCGTGCCTACACCTGCCACTGACACGGGGCCTCGGTTCTTAAGGTCTCATCCGCAGGACCCGCAACTTTCACTTCAAAGTGCCGAGCGCATGGCGAAGGAAAGTTGCTACCAATTTTAATGACTAGGTAAGTCGCGGCCAAGATACGAACTCACGACCTCCCGATCACGGAGCGAGCGCTCTACCGACTGAGCTACCGTGAACGGTAGGAGCAGAGAAGAAGATTTTTCAAAGATTTAATGCATTTTCACTATAAAATCAATAGAGCCCCGCCCTAACACCAGATCCCCTGACCCTGGGGCCATAAAATTCACAATTTTGGAAGAGGCACTCTTGCTCATCATAACTATGTACTTAGTTAGCTTATTTAATACCCAGGAGCAGAGAAGAAGATTTTCAAAGAAATAATGCATTTTTACTATATAATCTATATAGCCCCACCCTAGCACTAGAACCCCTGACCCTGGGGCCATGTATTTCATAATTTTGGTAGAAGACTCAATGCTGATTAAAATCATGCCAACAGTTTGACTGCTTGATGTCCAGGAGTAAAGAAGAAGATTTTTAAAGATTGCACTAATTTTAGTGGTTTTGGCCCCACCCCTTAGGCCCCAGGGGGGCAGGGACCATGAAATTCATAATTTTTGTTCACCTTCATCC